GCCACAAATGGGACTGTTGTGGCAGCTTTCGAGCTCCTCAGTCTCCAACCAAACGGACCCTAAATAACACTAGCTAACCAATCAATAAATAAAGGATAACTTACAAAATAATCCTTAGTAGAATGAGATAGGCTAAACTACCAAGTTGATATATTTTTTTGTAACAGTCCTTTACAAGTTGACTTTTGGTATTAAAATTCCACCAAATGTGTCATTAGCAGGGGCGGATCCAGGATTTCAGTTCTGGGGGGCCGCGTACAAAAGATAGACGAAAAATTTTCTTAATGTAATTTTATTCACAAGAGATACATCACAACTCAAACAAAACGTGTAGAATAGGCAACGTCAATATCTACAAAATATTTCAGAAGAAGAAGATAAAAATTATGTAGAAAATATTCAAACAAGCATAATCTAATTTTTTATAATTAAAACTTCTCAAAATTATGTAGAAAAGAGCAAAGTTGGAGGCAGGGAGCTAGGGGCGGATCCCAAAATTTTAGGGGGCCGTGGCCCCCTGGACTGTATATAGATCCGTCCTTGACCCATTAGATATTTTTTTAATCGTCTCCGATAAAAGCTTATCTCATAAAATATACGTGACCCCTTGTAACTAATTTTGAGAGATATTAGAACTAATGTGGATGCATTTAAATGATATAATAAGATGTAAATGATGTGGCACAGCACAGAGAGAGAGAGAGAGAGAGGCGTGAGTTGAACTAACCCTATGTTTGTCAAATTCCCCTTATTTTCTAGCTCCCATAGAGAAAGAGAAAAAGGGACGGACTTTTAATAGCAAAATTTTCATTTTTTAAGCAAGATTGTCATCGGTGTTGAAAATTAATACATAATTGCACTTTTTGAGGCTCTTAACACCAAAAAGTCGCCTGGGCGATCATGCGATTAGTGAAAAATCAAGGTGTTCAAACGCAAAATAAAAGGACCAAGCTCCTTTCACCAACGATAACGGCCGGTCCCTTCAGCTGAAATCCCACTCAACGCTCGAGAAATTGAATGACACCCCTTCAAATATCTCATCCCGGCAACCGAAACCAAAAACCCAAACCCTAATAATCCCAATGGCTCCTCCTCCCCGCCCCGAATCCGAATCCTCCTCCCTCCTCCCGATCCAACCCGAGCCCACCTCCGCCTCCGAAACCGCCTACGAGCCCGGCGAGAAGATCACCATCGCCGACGACGAGTCCGGCTCCGACGTCACCCCTCCCTTCTCGTGGAAAAAGCTCTGGCTTTTCACCGGCCCAGGGTTCCTAATGAGCATCGCCTTCCTCGACCCAGGCAACCTCGAGGGCGACCTCCAGGCCGGGGCGAGCGCGGGCTACTCTCTGCTCTGGCTGCTGATGTGGGCGACCGCGATGGGGCTTTTGATCCAGATGCTGTCGGCGAGCTTGGCTGAGGTTTGCAGGGAGGAGTACCCGAATTGGGCGAGGCTCGTGCTTTGGGTGATGGCGGAGGTGGCGTTGATTGGGGCGGATATTCAGGAGGTCATTGGGAGTGCGATCGCTATCAAGATTTTGAGCGGGGGAGCGATCAAGCTTTGGGCTGGGGTTGTCATTACTGCGCTAGATTGGTGAGGTTTTTGGTGGGGATTTGTTTTCGTTTTTTTTTAATAAATTTGGTTACTTTGATTTTGGGGGCTGGCGTTTTTGCGGAGGTGATATGGGATTTCGGAAGGATTTTATTTTTGTTGTTGTTTGAGCTGGTAAAGTTTGGTCTTTTTGTGAAGTTTTACCTGAATTTGGTGAGCTCTGGGCTGGAGTTGTTATTACTGCTCTGGATTGATGAGGTCTTGATTAGGTCTTATATATTTTGTGTTTGGTTTGTGAAATTTTGTTTAATTTGATTTCTGGAGCTTGTATAAATTAGTTTTTCGTTTCCTCTCCTTGAGTTTTGCTTATGGTGGTTTGTACGAAATTGTCCAATTTTCACATTTTCGTGTGAATTTTCGTGTGAATTTGGGGGCTTTGTGATTATTTGTGAAATTTAATTTAGTTTGGGCTGCCGTTTAGGCTGTGAGCTGTTTTGGGAGTTAGGAAAAATTATATATATATTTTTAAATTTTTTTTTTAACTGCGCTGGATTGGTGAGGATTTGGTCCTTTGGAGATTGGATTTTGTTGTGAAATTTGCAAAATTTTTGGGGTAAGTTTGATTGTTTGTGAAATTTGGTTTAGTTTGATTTCTGGAGCTGGCGTTTTTGCTGAGGTGTTGTGGTAACGAGGAAATATTAAATTTTTTTCTGCTATTTGAGTTTGAGTTTTAGGGGTTTCGTAAAAGGACAATTGTGATTGATCTGTGATTAGAATGCACTTTGAATTTGGTTTAAGTTTTGATCGTTTCTGGTGTTGTTGGTAAATTTTGGTCGTTTTGTAAAATTTGGTTTAGTGGGATTTCTGAGGCTGAATTTTTCTGTGCCCTTTGAGTTTGCTTGTGGTGCTCTAGGATATTTTCCGATGTTCATATGTAATTATTTAAGGGTTTTAAAGGGGTATTGTGATCCGTTTGTCAAGTTTTAACTGAATTAGAGCTTTCATCT